AGACGGTTCAGGGAGGTTCTGCTCAGACACGTGAAAAGAGAGTTACAGTAGTCTAAGCGTGAGGAGATGAAGGTGTGGAGAACTGTCTCAAGTTCAGAGCGGGACAGAATGGGACTCAGCTTAGCAACGTTCCTGAGATGGAAGAAGGAAGAGCCAACAAGAGAACTGACATGAGAATCCAGGGTGAGAGCTGGGTCAAAGGTCACGCCAAGATTCCTGACAGAGGCTTTGGTGAGAAGCAAGCTGACCAAGAGGGTCTTTGCCTTTGGGACCCAGCTCGTCTGGGGCACAGATGAGCATCTATTAAACGACAAGTGTAATCCTAATAAAGTTAATTTTGGAGGAGTTTATTTCAAGGTAAATTTGATAAAAATCCCTCAAGTCAGTATCAGCTTTATGGATGTTTGGAATTGGGCTGCACAGTGGTACAGCCGGTAGCACTGTAGCCTTGCAGCAGTTAGGTGTAAACCCCTACCTGGAGTCTTTCCGTGTTGAGTTTGCATGTTCCTCACTGGATGGGTTTTCTCCCACAGAACAAAACATGCATGTCAGGTTAATAGTAAACTCTTAATAGCCTCTAGATGTGAATGGGCGTTTGTCTCGGTGTGGCTCTGTGATGGACTAGAAACCTCTCCTAGGTGTCCCTCCCATCTGCCCAGTCACTGCTATAGATAGACATCAGCTTCCCTTGACCCTACTGAGGGGTAAGCGGTTAAGAAAATAAGTGTTTTCATGTCCTCAAATACTCCGGAGCAGTTTTGTTTTGAGGAATGTGCGCCATGAACATCAATCAAATCAACTTGGCAAGAAAACAAATGTTAAAAGTTCCTTTATTCTCTCGTGTGATAGTCTAGATTATCATTTATTCAGTACATGGCAACCCCAAGGGTAAACAAAACTAAAATACAGAGCAATAAAAAACAAAATCATGGAAAATCTGAGCAGCAAGAAGACCAAAAGCGCAACAAAGCTCATAAACCCAAAAAAATCAATCTAGCAATAAAACGATCCCATCTGATTTTGTTAAACGTGGCAGAATTAGCAGATTTGCTAGAAATAATTAGATGTTGGTGGAAATTGAGATCACTTTGCTTAAAAATGCAACATTTGGCGTTAGCCTCGCGACAATTGCACTCTCTGGCTAACCTTTCTTATGCTTTATTGAATTTCGAGTTAGGTTGATGCTTTGGTTTCATGCTGCATTTTCTCGAGTTTATTTTCTTACAAATTGTTTAGCAATAAATCATCCTCGAATAATTAATCACAACATGATCTTTATTTATTAGTGGTTTTATCTGTCATGCCCAAAGGTACGAGGAAGGTATGGCTCCACTCCACAAAAGGGAAAAAACACTGATGCATCAAAGTATTAAAGCAGAAGTGAAATTTTTTCTTGTCTCCTTAATTCAGCCAGCCATAAAAGTAAAAAAAAAAATCTTATATATTTTTTAAAACAGGAAACGGTTTCTTCGATTCATGTTTTTAAGCCATACTTTGCAACTTTTTCGTATTCTCAAAGGATTTTCTTGAGCCAGTATGTGCTCAAATGACCCTTTACAGGGTTAATGAACTCCGCCCCCCACCACCATCTGTGGCCAGAATACCGCGTTTGCAACTTCAGAGTGCCAGTCCGGTCTGTTGGACAAAATAATGGAGCTGACATACCTTCCTGCATGTTTTAGATCACAAACACAGCTGATTTGTTTGATTTAATGATAAATCACTCCTGTAGACACTACTGAAGGCTGAGGAGACATTTCAGCTGTTAGATTAAGGTGTTACTCCTACTTGAAAGCATCAGCAGAGCAGAATGGTAGAACTTCAGTGCTTCAAATTAGAATCCATTATTGTCTATGGGGGTGATTCAAACCAGCTTTGACGCAGAAATTTTCAGATGCGTCCCATTAGCAGCACGCCATGCTGCACAGCCAAAGCTGCTTCTGGGACACCACAATTTCTGCAGTTAACATAGGACTAGACAGGAAATCACATGCGGCTTCAGTGTAAAACCTTTGGTAATTTTCCAAATAAAAGACTTTTGCAGCGATTCAGTTTCATATCTATGTAGATTACATGTGATCTAACGGCTTTTTTAATCCCAGCATTGTTCCAGATGTTCAGCAGTGTGTTTTTCATGGCTTTAATCCTGGCAGTGGAGAGGTACAACATCATATATGACGTCAAACAGCGATATCAAATGTGATTTGCTTCGTTTTAGTTTAATGACGGATGCCATAAACTCAAGGGATTTTGTAATCTCATAAGTTAAGCGAGGAGGATGATGGAAGTCTTGAGGTATTTTATGATCTCGCGAGTCCAGCATAAGCACAGCAGAGATACTCGGTGTGTACTGCATGCAGTGGACGTTGTGGGTAAACCATTCTGCTCCGCTGATGCTTCTAGTGTGAAGTAGGATTTAAAAGATGAACGCAGAGCGAGGAGAGAAGCTTTGCTTTTGGTTCTACTAAACGGACACTAGGTGGTGTTAAAATCAAGCAAAACTGCAAAGTTTTCACTTATTTTTTTCTATACATTTGCAGGTCTTTTAGTATAAATGAAGGCACATTGACTCGCTCTGCGTTTCAGGGAATAGGAGTTTGTCGGAGGAGTGTGGGTGGAACAACAAGTCAATCAATCAATCAATTTTATTTGTAGAGCACCTTCCGCAACGTTATCAGAAGCCCAAGATGCTTAACAGCATCATAAAAACGATCCCAGTACCTGGACATAAGAGCAAGATAAAAACATAAAATCATAAAATAACAAGCAAGCAATATTACAAATACAGAGAGGTAACGGAATGAGACTAATCAATTAAAGGGACTTTACGGAGTTTTGTATTTTTATGCTCGCGATTGCCCCCTCAGGCCAAAAGCGTAACGGCAGCTTCAATAGTAGGCTCGTGCACGAGGCGCGCATGCTGTACGTGCACACTCCATAACGAAAATAACAGCTGAGACAGTCCCGTGTGTGTGTGTGTGTGTGTGTGTGTGTGTGTGTGTGTGTGTGTGTGTGTGTGTGTGTAGGACAGAGGACAGGAGAATGAGCAGCTAATTAATTAAATAATTTGGTTCTGTACCTTTCTCTTCAGCACAGCCGACAAAGGTTTATGGGTCAGTCCTCCTGCATGCTCAGATCATTCCCTTCCCTTGCTTGAAAAATTGTTCCAAAATGAAAGTTGAACCCACAACTTTGTTTTTCTGTGAATTCAATGCCGTTCGGCGAGTCTCAAATAAAAATTTGGGCGTCTTATTACTGTAAAAAAATATGTAATTAATGTAAAAAAGAAACTCTAAATAAACTATGTTCCTCATCCAGAATCGAACCCAGGTCTTCTGCACGAAAGTCTGACGTCTTACTAGGTGAGCTAAAGCGCCAGTGACGTCTTTTGTATCTGTAGCATTTCTTGATGACAGCTAAAACAACGTTCAAAGAACGGTTCGGAGTGAAAATGGCTATTTTGTTGCTAATTAGCAGGAAATATCTAGAAGAAAGTTCTACAGAAAGTAGCTAAGGGTCCTCAGAAATGTAGCTAGCTTTGTCACTAGGCGTTAGGAACAGCGACAAAGTGGCACTGCCTCTCTCTCTGCTGCTAAAGCTACGGATAGCAAATGCTACGGGCGATGCCTGAGCGTGAACGCGCATGAAGCAGCCTGCTCGACCCGAGCATCTCTCTTTTTCTGTGATTTTACAGAAAAACAGGCAATCACAGTAAAAGTGCCAGGGCTCATTCTACAGGACCAGGGCGTTGCAGGAGAATGTATGAAGAAGGCATTTATTATTTCTATACATGTTTTGGCTGTCACACTTCCATAATGCCCCTTTAAAAACAAATGGTGGACAAAATAAGATCAAGCATCTTGATCAAAAAGAAATATTAAAAACCATAATGTCAGGGCAATTCAATGAACCCTGTCGCTGAAAAGCAATCAAATAGAAATTAGTCTTTAGACGAGACTTAAAGACTTGAAGGGACGGCGCCTGCCTAATGGTCAATGGCAATTCATTCCACAGAGTTGGAGCCAAAACAGAAAGTGCACGATAACCCCTCGATCGATATTTCGACTGGGGTACCACCTGACGTCCCTGCTCGCCTGAGCGAAGAGACCGAGATGGAGCATACTTGTGCAAAAGTGCAGTAATGTAAGAGGGGCACTGCCGTGGAGGGCCTAATAAACAAGAGTTAGGATCTTAAATTTAGCTCGATATTGCACCGGGAGCCAGTGCAGAGTATCCAGCACTGAAGTAATGTGATCTCGGCATCTAGTACCTGTCAGGAACCTAGCCACTGAGTTCTGTACAAACTGGAGTCGTGCAACCATGCACTGGCCCAGACCGGCATACAGAGTGTTACAGTAGTCCAGCTGGGACAGGACGAAAGCAACACAGACTCCAGATGAGCTCTGGACAGCAGAGGCCTGATCCTGGATAGTCTTTTCAGGTTAAAAAACAGGACCTCACCACCGTATTTACGTGAGTGTCAAGATTAAGTTAGGAGTCAATTTTAATCCCCAAATTACTATTTTCTTTTCATAGGGGGTCAATGGGCCACGGCCAATATCAGCACCTGAGCCATTTCTTCTTCCAGGACTAAGTATTATGACTTCCATTTTGCTCTCATTTACAGGTGCTGGCCAGTAAATTAGAATATCATCAAAAGGTTGAAAATATTTCAGTAATTCCATTCAAAACGTGAAACTTGTACATTATATTCATGCAATGCACACAGACCAATGTATTTCCAATGTTCATTACATTTAAATTTGATATTTATAGGTGACAACCAATGAAAACTCCAAATTTGGTATCTCAAAAAATTAGAATATTCTGAAAAGGCTGAATATAGAAGACACCTGCTGCCACTCTAATCAGCTGATTTACTCAAAACACCTGCAAAGGCCTTTAAAAGGTCCCTCAGTCTTGTTTTGAAGGCACCACAATCATGGGGAAGACTTCTGACTTAACAGCTGTCCAAAAGACAATCATTGACACCTTGCACAAGGAGGGCAAGACACAAAAGGTGATTGCTAAAGAAGCTGGCTATTCGCAGAGCTCTGTGTCCAAGCACATTAACAGACAGGCGAAGGGACGGAAAAAATGTGGTAGAAAAAAGTGTACAAGCTCTAGGGATAACCGCACCCTGCAGAGAATTGTGACGACAAACCCATTCAAAAATGTGGGGGAGATCCACAAAGAGTGGACTGCAGCTGGAGTCAGCGCTTCAAGAACCACCACGAGGAGACTCATGAAAGACATGGGATTCAGGTGTCGCATTCCGTGTGTTAAGCCACTCTTGAACAAGAAACAGCGCAAGAAGCGTCTCGCCTGGGCCAAGGACAAAAAGGACTGGACTGATGCTGAGTGGTCCAAAGTTATGTTTTCTGATGAAAGCAAGTTCTGCATTTCCTTTGGAAATCAAGGACCCAGAGTCTGGAGGAAGAGCGGAGAAGCACAGAATCCACGTTGCATGAGGTCCAGTGTAAAGTTTCCACCGTCAGTGATGGTGTGGGGTGCCATGTCATCTGCCGGTGTTGGCCCACTCTGTTTCCTGAGGTCCAGGGTCAATGCAGCCGTCTACCAGGAAGTTTTAGAGCACTTCATGCTTCCTGCTGCTGACCAACTTTATGGGGATGCAGACTTCACCTTTCAACAGGACTTGGCACCTGCACACAGTGCCAAAACCACCAGCACCTGGTTCAAGGACCATGGTATCCCTGTCCTTGATTGGCCAGCAAACTCGCCTGACCTTAACCCCATAGAAAATCTATGGGGTATTGTGAAGCGGAGGATGCAATACGCTAGACCCAACAATGCAGAGGAGCTGAAGACGACTATCAGAGCAACCTGGGCTCTCATAACACCTGAGCAGTGCCACAGACTGATCGAGTCCATGCCACGCCGCATTACTGCAGTTATTGAGGCAAAAGGAGCCCCGACTAAGTATTGAGTGCTATACATGCACATTCTTTTCATGTTCATTCTTTTCAGTTGGCCAACATTAGAGAAACAAACATTTTTTCATTGGCCTTTAGAATATTCTAATTTTCTGAGATACCAGATTTGATGTTTTCATTGGTTGTCACCTATAAATATCAAAATTAAACGTAATAAACATCGGAAATACATTGGTCTGTGTGCATTGCATGAATATAATGTACAAGTTTCACGTTTTGAATGGAATTACTGAAATATTTTCAACCTTTTGATGATATTCTAATTTACTGGCCAGCACCTGTAGGTGCAAAAAATTAGAACCCATCCAACATTTTATGTCCTTCAAGCAGTCCAGTAAAGGAGAAACAGATCTATCCTCCCCACGTCGAGGGGGGTTGATGGATCTGGCAGTCATCAGCAAAAAAATGAAATTTCACATCATGCCGATGAAGGAGGACTCCAAGAGGAAGCAAATACACTGCAAATAGTCTTACACATTAAAGAGAGACAAGGCTGTTTTGGCTTGCTTTTAGCACCCCTAGTGTCTATTTGTAGAACCGAACACAAAACCTGTCTTCTTGCTTGGCAGTCATCATTTTAACACTTTAATCTAACAGCTGTCCCAGCAGCCCGGGCTGGCAACTCTGAAGTTGCAGGTGACCTTTCTCAGGCCTAGTGGTAGAGTGTCCGCCCTGAGACTGGGAGATCAGGGTTTGATTCCTGGTCGGGTCATACCAAAGACTTTGAAAAAATGGGACCCAATGCCTCCCTGCTTGACACTCAGCATTAAGGGGTTGGATTGGGGGGTTAAACCACCAAATGGTTCCCAAGCGTGGCTGTGTCTGCAGCTCACCGCTCACTCAGGGGATGGGTCAAATGCGGAGAATAAATTTCGTGCACACACCTGTGTGTGTGACAACTAATGGGACTTTAACTTTAACTTAAATATTCTGGCCACAGGGGGCGATAGGGGCTGGGTGGCCTTTCATTAACCCTGTAAAGGGTCATTTTAGCCCAAACTGGCTCAAGAAAACGATTTAAAAACATGAAAAAGTTGCAGAGTTTCCCTTTTAATATTCATGATATACAAACATCTGGCCTCTGATTGGCTAACAGCAAATCAACTCTTCCACTGCAGCATTACTGTCTTCGCTCAACAAATAACTGAAGCCCAAGCATCAATAATATTATTGTTTTGATTTATATATATTTCTAATTTAATTTTTCATTTATTTTAACAATCAGACTTCTGCCAACATCCATTGTTAAGGTAAAGATTTCATGCTGTTGACGGAGTTCAGTAGTCAGTCGTGTGTAAACTGCCATTTCCTCTGAGGTCTGATGGATCATAATAAACTATGTTTGTGTTCATTTAAGAATTCACCAACATTCCTTGTGTTTGGCTTGGACCCATAATTAGAAGTTAAACCACATTATTAACCAGTGGGGTCTGTGTTGTTTCTCTGCCTGCTTTCAGATTTGCGCATGTTTCCTGAACGCTACGTTGTGTGTGTGAGCTGTCCAGAAGATGCCTTAGCACACCATGGAAACCCGAGCCCGGCCGCGGTGAGTGCTGTTTATACTCCCCTATTTCCTCTTTCAGCCTCTTGGCTAAAAGTCCAGCATTGGTCTGTGGGTAATCATAAAGATGCCAAATTGGGCTCTCCGTTAATCTACCCTGGTCGCCTTAACAAGCGGGCATGGACTGAACCTCACAGACGTAGAAAACAGAATGGTTGAAGCAGGGGTCCAAATGTGGGGTTCAGTTCTTATTTGTCGAGCATGGAAAGACAAAAAAGTCCAAATCCTGATTTTATCCCAGCTCCTTTTGGCTCTTCAGCCAACATTAGTGTTTGTAGAATGATCTAAAGCCTCTTTACTTCTTAGTTTGGATGTTGTAGTCGCTCTCCATTCATCTGATACCAAGCCTCTCACCTTTCGTAGCTGCATCACACATCATTCTCATCACATTAGCCTTTTATTAGACTTCCCAATAAGACGTTGTTTTTACATTTTCCACCGCCGAGTTTCCAATGAAAGCAGTGATTGTAACATTTTTGTCGAGCAACACAGTTGTCAGTGAAAAGTTCAGATTGTGTAACCAATTTTCCAGTTCGGGGAGGCATTGCTGTCGATTGCGTTTCTCTGCTCAGGATGTGGTTCTCTGGGCTTATGCAGTACAAGCAGAGGGAATTGGAGGGTGGGAGTCTTGTGGCAGGGTTCTCACTAACTCAACCTCCAAGCCTGGTTTGTGAGGGAAAGATACCAGACAGAGTGGCTGAAGGATTTTCACATCATGAGGAGGGTCACTCGTATCCTCCCTTCCTCCCTCTGCTCCTCCATGTCTGACGTTTATTTCTTTCTTCTTCAAATCCACAACATGAATAAAAATATCTGCTGCTGATTTAAAATAGTAACGTGGCTGTCTTTGGAGATTCTTGTCTGAGAGAATTGCATGCTTTTGCAGAGCTCTTTTATGCCACAGCTTTTGACTGCACGAGCACGCGAGAAAGAGAGAAAGCCACATTTCCACGTGTCTAAGTCTCAGGTTTGTTAGGATTCCGTTTTTGTGACTTGTTGAGCAAAAATCTGCAACCGCAGTGGAAAAGTTGACAAATGAGAGCATTTCATCAGGTCAGAGGGTTATGTTGTAAGAGAACTAAGGTAACATCTTGGTTGGCCCTAAAATCCAGAGTCTCACTCCTACGCATGAGCATACCATTTGTAAGATGTTTACTCTTCACTCCTACGCCGTGGTGGAAGTCTAGCTGTTTTTTATTGCAGTTAGAAGCAAGAAGAAAATATAGTTGAAAAAAAAAAAAGCCACATCCAATAGTTGTAGAAGGATTTATGCAACCAGGTCTTGTTGGTTGATGTAGTTTTTGGGCAGAAACTATTTCTATAAAAAAGTGCAGATTTGCTACCTTCTATCTAAAACTGCAGCTGTCAATAGTAACTTATTTTAATGAGAACAAATTCAAAGGTGTGGAACTCTGAAAAACCATTTTTTAAAATGATTGTTTCTGATTATAATCAATCACTCTGAGTTTTTCATGCAAGCTGAACATGAAAATAGTCTCCTACACCTATCTCCTGCAGATCTACGTCACACTGTCTCATAGTTCATGGACTCACCCAGGTTGTTGCTGGTTTAATACATAGACATGAATATGTAGACGCCCCATTGTGAACTGGAGAGCGTAACAGCGCTGCCACCATATTGAATGGGTCTCCTCACTCTCCAAAGTCCAGCAGAGTGAGCGCCTATGCCTGTTTTTGTGCAGCCTACGATTATAACAACAGGCATACTATTGAATACAGATCACGTGGGATTACTATTGACTTTTCTAGCCTACCTGATGGGATTTTATATTTAATTTATTTTGCTTAAATCTAATTAGATTTTAATTATCCTGTCTACCATGTCTGATTTAATGAAAAAGCTTGATAAAATGTGTTTTAAGTTGGGTAAGCACCTTCCCCAGTAGAAATTAATGCACTGCGGGCGAATGGAGACCCACCAAGATGGCGGCCGGCCACTACGGCAGCTCCTATAAGTGGCGCCAGTCCATGGGGCATCTACAGTATGTATATATGTTTGTGGTTTAACGTCTGAGAAACAGCAGAGGACATCTCGACCGTGGTTTAAGTTAACCTTTAGCAGAGGTGGAAAGAGTACTAAAATGTCCTACTTACAGTCAGGTCTGTACATATTGGGACATGGACACAATGCTAACATTTTCGGCTCTATACACCACAATGGATATCAAATGAAACGAACAAGTTGTGCTTTAACTGCAGACTGTCGGCTTTTATTTGAGGGTATTTACATCCAAATCAGGTGAACGGTGTAGGAATTACAACAGTTTGCATATGTGCCTCCCACTTGTTAAGGGGCAATTGGCTTCTCAGCTGTTCCATGGCCAGGTGTGTGTTATTCCCTCATTATCCCAATTACAATGAGCAGATAAAAGGTCCAGAGATCATTTCTAGTGTGCTATTTGCATTTGGGATCTGTTGCTGTCAACTGTCAAGATGAGATCCAAAGAGCTGTCACTATCAGTGAAGCAAGCCATCATTAGGCTGAAAAAACAAAAGAAGCCTATCAGAGAGATGGCAAAAACAGTAGGCGTGGCCACAACAACAGTTTGGAACATTCTCAACAAGAAGGAACGCACCGGTGAGCTCAGCAACACCAAAAGACCCCATGGAAAACACACACACACACATGCACGCACGCACACACACACACAGCTTGATGGAGGGATTTCTATCCAATCAGTGAGAACAGGACGTGCTCACTGATTGGACGAGGTTTTTCTACGATTGTACGTTTCAATTGTTATTAAAATTATTCTTTATTTTGAAAAACAAAATGTTAATTTTTAGATGCCATCAGTGTGTGAGGTATCTCAATGCTCTCATGACAAAACTCTAACATGAGACTGTGCTCTAACCTGTCACATAACAAGCTAAATGAAAGTCAGACATTTCAGATGGACCGTATGACAGCTGCTAACGTTGGCCCCGCCCTACTTTACCTCTACATTACAGTTCCTTTATCCATGTCCATCCTAGAGCTCCTCTCTGACCTTCGTGCTTATTTAGAGCAGCTGATCTTTAAAGTTAGCAGAGTTCATCCTTGGTGGTGGGTTCACTCACTCATTTAACCCTTCACCCCTGAAATCAGTTTGTTCATTCCAATCCTCCTAAATAATCCTCCAATCGTCCAACTGGAATCCTTAAGGGTCCCGTAACGTCCATCCTGTCAGAACAGGCCTTGGGAGCCCAGGTGTTACTAGAACTAACGGTGTCTCCTCACCAGCGTGAGCCTCCAAACTGTGAAGGTTGGTCTCCAAACATGAACTTTAAATGTATGCATTTATCTCCTCTTGTAGCACTTTAACATGTTTTAAAAGGCTTGTATCATGATTTAAAAGGCTTGTATCATGATAAGTTACACCTCCCAGACCAAAGATAAGAAAAAATATTATCATAGACGCTATTGAGACGTCATTATTTATGAAATATAAGTTATTTTCCTGAGCCATTACTTCAGCCAAGATATAGGATGCATGGATTTGATGAAACCACGCTGTCTCATGCAGTCCTATATGTGTAACACACACACACACACACACACACACACACACACACACGCACACACACACGCACACACACACGCACACACACACACACACACACACACTGCAGCATGTTAGAATCTTTTGAATGACTAATTTAACTACATTGAATTGCTTTAGTAATAATTTAATCTCTTATTCTGGACTGAAATAAAGAAACAAGCTAAATCATCACATATGTGTGGCATCAAGGAGCATCTTCAGAGTTCAAACACAGGGATGGAGCACAATGTTTACACCTGAACAGTATCAGGATGTTTTAACTCTCAGAGGCCTGCAGGTATCCTGTTTTATGAGCAGAGCGCTGAGAATCGGCTTGTTATGAGCGCTAAACGTTATTTTGCTGCTTCCGTGCGGAGCGGTAGGGAAACACGTTTCAAACACGGAACCGAGTCCGGCTACCGAACCGAGCAGAATTCTGATGACGTCACACCGGTGCGGTTCCCACGAGAGGAGGTAAACAGTGAGTGGATCACAGGGACCAAACTTATGCGTGTAAGCAACACTGCGGTAAAAATGGCGGTTTGTCTTCATCATCAAAAGTGCACATTTTTCCGCTAAGTTTTCTATCATAAATTTTTCATAGATTTTTTACTTCAGTCCCTGTACTAGAGACCGCTGCACAAATGTATTGATGGAACAAGCGTTCCAGTCCTTTAAATGTTAGTTACGGCCGATTTGTTTACATTTGAAGGTGAATCTGTGTTTCACGCTGATCATTTATCTGTGCCCTAGCTCGTCTAAGGCAGTCTGAGCGTGGCTCAGCACTGTGATGAACCAAAGCAAATGATGGGTTTAATAGTGCCAGCTAGGGTTTAGAGGTTTTCATTTGTAATGAAATTATACCCTTCCTCAAACTGCACTGCAGCATTAGACGTTGTCTTATAGCTGCACATAGCTAAGGGCAGTTTAAGGGTTTCTAAAATCATTTGACGTGCTCTGATTATTAGGTGCACCTTGCTCTCTCCAGGTGCCTTAATTCATCGTCTCATAGTTTCAAAAAGGTGTTTGAAACATTTCTCAGCGGTTCTGTCCCTTAGCATTACACAGGAACACCAATGATGAGAATCTCCCGTTTCACCACATCCCAAAAGTCCTGGTATCCCAATTTCTCGACTGATCTGATCTTTGTGACATGAAGCATTATCCTGCTGGAAGTAGCATCAGAAGATGGGTCCATGTGGTCATAAAGGGATGGACATGGTCAGCAACAATACTCTGGTAGGCTGTAGTGTTTAAACCTGGCTCAGGTGGGACTAAGGGGTCCAAAGTGGGACCAGAACATCTCCCACCACCACAGTTTCACCAGCAGCAGCCCGAAGCGCTGATACAGGGCGGGATGGATCCATGCTTTCATGCAGACCCAGAAAGGTTCTCTAGTCCCTTCTGGTCCCGTTCTGTTGATCCTGTGTGAACTCTTTC